CTTTATTCTTATAAAATTTCTTTTAATTTAGCAGTTAATTATCATTTTTCTTAAAAATAGTGACAATTTATGTAAAACTTCATTACATAACAAATTGAGTAAATAGTTATATTAACATAAACATTGTACAGTTATAGTCACATGAAAAAAATCACATAATACTATACCTGAGATATAAAGCTTTTGATTAATTATTTTAGCAATATATTCGTCATAATGTTATTTTACATCAAAGGATAGGGGGAGTAGAATACATCATAATTCTACAGGTAATGCAGTCATTTAATTATAGATTTTTTCTAATTAATCTCAGGGCATCTAAATATGCTTTTGTTGATTTAAATTATTGTCCTAAAATTCTCATCTTGGATTTATGCAAAACATTTAATTTGATAAAGAGCCATATGTATACTCATAATGTACTTCACTTATATACGTAAACCTCTTTTTTATGTAGTTTCTAAAACTATGGAATTTAAGTATACTTTGCCTTAGAGGAGAGAAACCAGAAATGCATTATTTTCATTTTCCACACATACGCATTTAGTGTTCCCTGGAAACTAGCACAAAGGGAAAGAAATTAATGATCTGAATAAAGAGCAACTGGGGGACTGCTTGCCCATAGGTGATTTTCCAGCGATTTAAACTACTCAAATTAGACAAATCTATCACGTCGGATTGGTTTGTGAATATCCTCATGCCTTTTTCTTTATTTATTTATTAACAGCAATTTTATTTTTAAACTACATTGTTCCTCTACCTTTAATTAATTTAAGATTCAAAAGCTGGCTTCAGGGGCAGGCCCCATGGCTTAGCAGTTAAGTGCACGTGCTCCGATGCTGGCGGCCTGGGTTCGGATCCCCGGCGCGCACCGACGCACCGCTTCTCTGGCCATGCTGAGGCCGCATCCCATGTACAGCAACTAGAAGGATGTGCATCTATGACATACAACTATCTACTGGGGCTTTGGGGGAAAAAAATAAAAAAACTTTTAAAAAAAGCTGGCTTCATATCCCAGCTGAGAAAGAAATCTACTGACATCTAGGTTGAAAATAACTGGGAACACTGTATACAACTTGCATTGGATAGTTATTAAATTTAGCAGTATTCAAATCATCAAATAGTGAAGCTGCAATTCTATTTTAAAACAGTAGTGAATCTTTCTGAGAATATACCACTTTATTTCTCCGTGCTACTTTCTTCAAGCTAGACAATGGCAATGACCTTAAATTAGATAAAATCTTGCCAGAATTCTAGCCTGACACATTAAAGAGGAGCACGAGTAGGGAAATAGGCCCAAAAAGGATGGAAAGAAATTCCATTAGTTTTATATTTCATAAAAGTCTAACACTTTTATCCCATAAGCACAAACTACCAACAAAATTACAAGTTACACATATTTACTCTTGCTTTGTTTTTCAAAGCAGCCCCTAAAATGGTGAATAGCAGAGGAATTGGAAATAATCTACCTTCACATGGTAATGAGAGGAGGAGAAAAAGCTTTCCACAAAATACTTCTGATCATTGTCCAATTTAGCATAAAAGTATGTGGATACCCCCTAAAGCACACTTAAACAATTAGGCAAACAACTTTTTTAACTCTTTGTAGATAAATGATGCTAGGTGTAAATTATTATTGCTGATCATTTGCTTCTTGTCAATATACTGCATTACTTGAACTTTTTTATAATAAAAGCAATGGAATTTAAAGCCATTGCTCTTGGTTCTAAGATTTATATGTAATTTCCATAACAATATTTTCTGGGTGAACTTTATATGTCTAAAAACACTGTGAATAAAAAATTTAAAGAGAGTTCCGAGTAATCAAACCCTAAAAGTAAGGTTTTTGAGGGATTCCACATTTAAGATGTGGAAGGAAAACATTCATCTATAAAAGTACCTAGGAATTCAAATTGAAGATAAGATAAATACAAAGATTCTTCCTAGAGATAAGATAAATCATTAAGAATATGTTTATTCCATCACTTAATGCAAGATATTTAGAAAAGGTAAAGCATTTCTAAGTGGAATAATAATCAATTGTTAAATTTATTTACCTTTTAACAATAGTCCAGTTATTTTTTTAACATCTCTACTTCCTAGTATTAAAAAAACAAACAAACAAACCAAACACTAAAACCTTCAACTGATTTACCCTGGCACTAATAACTCCAGAAGTATTTGCAGTTTTCTTATTAATGCAAATCAAGAATAAAGACATAAACAGACAAATACTAATATACACTGCATTAAACTGGTCTAATTAGGAATTAGATGACTCAATTTTCATTGGTTTCCCATTGTCTCTCATCTCACACATGTGCTTATAAACAATAATCTTTACTTAACATTATATATGAGTTCATTGTAAAATAAACTACATTAATTTTCACAGTATTCATAAAGAAAAAATGAAGTATAAGCTTAAAAAAACTCACTGAAGAAAGATATTAAAAGAAGTTGTTTTTATATAATTCCCTGGGTATTAAGGCACTGTGTGGGCCACTTGGACACCCTCACTCAGAAGACTAAGTTAAAATCACTTCTACTGAAATGGAGTAGAATTCTAGAGGCTACAGCTACCTACACTAAAAGTAGTGAAGCAATTTAGCCATTGGTGGTAAGAACCCTCATTAGCAACCTGGGTTCCCAAGTGAAGGCCATGGGGTGCACTTATAATTTTATTAATTTTTTTCCCCCAAAGCCCCAGTAGATAGTTGTATGTCATAGCTGCACATCCTTCTAGTTGCTGTATGTGGGACACGGCCTCAGCATGGCTGGAGAAGCAGTGCGTCGGTGCGCACCCGGGATCCAAACCAGGGCCACCGGCAGCAGAGCGCGTGCACTTAACCGCTAAGCCACGGGGCCGGCCCCATGGGGTGCACGTAAAAGGAAATAAGTAGCTGGTGCAGACTAGGAGGCAGAGCGCAGCATCTTCTTGGCATCAGGTTTCTATTCCAGGTGACGTGAAGATCCCAAGGGAAGCCCACTATAGACATCTAGGATGGTAGTGACAGGTGGGAACACTACTGAGAACCAATTCCAAGAGGAAAGGTCAGGAGTTATGTGCTGAGGGAAAAAAGTATTCTTGGCTACAGATAGCGCCTGAGAACCAAAAAATAGCCACAATACTTTGTTGTCTTATTTTGTATTTGTTAGGCAAAGAGAATCGAAATAAGTAAGGAGACTGTGCTTGAGCCTGTTACCCAGAACGTTATCACTTTTGAACGGCTTGGCTTGTTTCAGTTCACTTGCTTTCTTCAGCATTTATAGTTCTGTCAAGTATGAATGTAGCTGAACCACTACATAGGAAATGTAAGAGCTCATGTTCCCAATAACCAGGAAATCCAGAGGTCTAGGTGACCCCAGACACCCTACGGATGAGGAGACAAGGCCCTAAGCAGTTACATGAATTGAATATATTTAAAACTAGTAGATTATGAATTCAAGGGGCTAATATTAATATTATAATGTTTATTCTAATAATATACATATGTCACAGTGACTATAAAACATAAATAACACCAAATCATATAGTAGTGAAAACATAAATGTACACAAGTAAGCAGTCAATGAATAAGTAAAGATATTTCCTATAGATTATCACAGAAAATAAATGTCCACACGGGTGATTTTCTCATTTGAGAACTGATCAATTTCATTCATCAAAAGTCTAGATTTCAATTTATTTCTATTTAGGCATAAAATAAGACGCTTCTTAACATTTATAGGTTCTTGGTGTTGGAAAGAATTTCAAAAATCACCAAACCGCCTTTCATATTTGGTTTTAAGTTTGGAAAGCAACCACAAAGCTCCGTGGCTCTTCCTTACCATTGTATTCCCTGGGTTAGTAAGGGATGCTGCAGCTCACATAAAAAGAAGAAACACTCACACAAGAAAATGAATGAATCCCCAGTGATGCCTCTACTAAGGATCCATTCTATAAAATGAGTCCATTTCCGAGAGACATTCCCAGTTTTGAATCTCATTGGAACCAGGCAGCATCAAGGTTAGTGCCAATAATAGTCTCCACCTGCTTCTCAACCCACCAGACCCCAAGTATCCATAGTCAAACCATGCTTTACGTACTTTATATTCAACCACCACAGCGTAAGCTTCCCCTCCCCCTCCCCCACTCATCATGCCCACAACTGTGCCCGGCACTTGGACGGATGGATGGATGGATGGATGGATGGATGGATGGATGGATGGATGGACGGATGGATGGATAAGCGAATAAGTACATAAAATTTTCCTCTCTTGTTCCACTATAATTCATAGGACTTATTCAATTATCAGGGTAAAGTCTTTATCTCCTCTGGGGAAATATTGTCATTCTTTTTCTTGTTTAAAACTTACTAAATATCTGTAGCTGACGAGTTTCTAATCATAATAAAAAACCAAAAGATATCATAATTTAGGTAGCATAATTCCAGATCTGGGATTCAAAGAAAAACATCTAGTCATGATTTCACGGGGAAAACGTAGTGAAAAATTAGCATCTTCTAAATGTTACCATCTATGTTAGCCCTGTACGTGCCTATCAGAATGAAAAGGAATTAAGATTCGAGTTAGGGCTGGAGTTGATGCTTCAAAAGTTTAAAAAAAAAAAGAGCTGGACTTGAGATTTAAAAATGTGGTTGAAGGAAGATCTATGATATACCTTCAAACGAAGTACAGTTCTGTTAAAGTGAGGCATGAGTGACTTTACAACCAAAGAAAATGTAGGGTATTAAATGCCCCTTTTGTTTATGTTGATGAAAATGCACCCAGGGCCTGTGGGTATACAGACTGTAATAGAAGTCATTTCAACAACTACCTGCCAGTTTCACTCTCACTTAGCAGGAGAGGTGTGTCTCAATTAGAAGGTTCCTGCCAGTACTTCCTCATACTTCCTAGGCAGCTGTTTCGAAATTCGGGGGTTGCAGACAGGTAGGAAGGAAAACTCCTTACCCACCCGCAGATAGCTGAGAGAGAAAGTGTGGGTTTGTACTACTCACGGCTCTGCCTGGAGGCTCCTGTCCTCAGCCACGTAGTTAGAAGGAATATAGCCCTGCAGTTGCTGGCCGGAGCCGTCTGCCCTTCTCTCCAAGTGCCTGGCGAACCACCAGCCCTCGTGGGAAGTGTCCAGGACTTGGAGCTTGTCGCCCGCGCGGAAGCTCAGGTCCTCTGCAGTCCGAACCTGGTAATCAAACAGTGCCACAAAGTAGCGGCTTCTCTCGGGCTCCCGCCTCTGTGGCCGGGGAGCATCAGGGGAGGGGCGGGCCCCTGGGTTCTCAATCACTACCGGCTTGTCTGCCTCCCGGGACAAGCAGGGGAGACAGGGCTCCAAGTACCCCCGGAGCCTCAGGCAGACGTTGCCCATGGTGCCCTGGTGGGGAGGAGGAGAGAGTGGCTTCTCCTTCTCCCCTTAGTCTCTGCAGATCCACGTTCTCTTCCTCCACCAGGCGACTTTGAAATCAGCACCAACTCACCAGGCTTTGGTGAGTGTGCAAAGCCCTGTTTTGCAACAGTCCGGCAGACCTGGCTGCGGCAAGTCCTGCTTGGAGAGACTCACCGGCTTGCTTTCTGTGGCCGTGGCTGCTGCCCCGGAGCTCAAGAGAGTGAGAGCTGAGCAGCTGCTCAGTTGGAAGACGCCTTTTCTTCTTGTCTGCTTAGGAATCCCACAACAAAAATAAAAATCAGAGGGCTTTATTTAGACAAACGTCTGAGAACAGAAAAGAGTCGTCTTGCCTTTTGTCCCAAGGAAAAGTTAACAAGAGAAAGGTGTTAACTCCAGGTAAGATCTCCACGTCTTGCTTTCGCCAGGAGCTCTCTCCCTGCTTCAAGCCTGGCTCTGTAGTTTGATCAGTCCTGACCCCCACTGCTCTTTCTTTTTCGCTAATGAATAACCAACCAGCGGAGGCTATTGCGTTTAACATCCTGAGCTATGAACCGACTGTGATAATTTCTCCTTACTTCCTGGTTTCTTTTTGTCTGTGATCTAAATGCGATTCCCGTTCTCTCTACCTCTCCCTTCTCCCACACCCAAGAGAGACCAGCGCCCTCACCAGGGAGCCAGACTCTTCAAGCAGCTGCCAAAACCATGCTCCCGGACAAACAGGCTAGCCCAGGTAGCTTTTTGTCTTGCCACAATCCCAGCACGGAAATTAAGGCCAGAGATTTTTTTTCCCCACAAAGATGAGTAGGGTTGTTTTGCCACCGCCAGGGGAAATAAAAAGGCAAATGCAAGTGTTTAGGTATTTGTTACCAGACAAAGGGCAATTGGGAAAGAACCATTGAGTCTCTACCTTTTTTCGTCACCATGAATAGATATGAATAGCTTCAAAGTATATTTACAGTCTGGAAAAATACGAGAGCAGCTGACTAAAACGCTAAGAACCCAAAACACTGCTTTTTCCCACAGAGACATTAATTTCCCATCTCTCAGGTACTATTTCTGAAACACACACACACACACACACACACACGCACAGACTAGGTGATCAGAGGAGAGAAAGAGTGGAAGGGCTATGTGTGTGCTGTTGTGGAGGCTCTTTCTGTTCAACTTCAACCTCCAAGTCCACACTATTTCTTACTATTGTTGTTGGCAGGAGCTCAGGAACTAATGAAGTGAGATCAGGACAGCGATCCCGATAGGCAGTGGGTCTTGCTCTATTTTCTCTAGTTCAGGGCAACCATCTCACAAATGTGTGCCCTGGATCCCAAGAACACCTGGGCAATGACTTTGAGAAAGAACAGGAATTGATTAAAAAGTTTCTGTCGTAAAACAATCTCTCTAAATGTTAGTGGAGCCTTGAACCTGGCTACTTGGCCCAGTACAATCTCAAAATTCCTGTTCTTTCTCAAACAACCAGGCATTTTTAGTAATCAGAATAATCAAACTCAACCAAAAAAAAAAAAAAAAAGAAGAAGGAAAGAAAACCACAGAACCATGCTGCTATTACCTTGTACCAAAATCAGGCATTCCTGGTGGACAGATCAACTGGTTAGAACAAGATGTCATGTCACGCTCCCAGGTTTCTCCAGTCATCTTCAGAGTTAGAGTAGAAGTATCAATTTGGCAGGAATAGAAAAGCCAAAAGCTGAGCCAGTTTTATTTATTTGTGATAAGGGACACAAAATATAATTCCATATATAAAACAGAAGAGAAAATAGCAATTATATAATACTGAGAAGCAATAGAATATTTTGTTCTAAACACAATATTAACTGTAAAAGTGTAGGATTGTATTAACGCCCCTAAGCAGAGGCATGGATGCTAATGTCTTTCCAGAGACATCTACATGATCTAGAAATGAAATAAGATTTGGAAGCAATCTTATTATTTGGAAGTGGAGTTTGAGATTTCAAAAATGTGAAGTTTCTAAATTCAACTAGGCCTCCGTTATGGTTATGACAAGGCATTCTGGAAAAAGACAAAGTGGCAGAGCACACTGAGCTAGCGATGAAATTGAAAAAGTGGCCGACCGTCCAAAGATGTCAGGTGAGCAATGGCCTGAGAAAGCTGAGCCAAGGAGTGGAGAGAGAAAGGGTTTCCTTGTGTCAATAGCACCAGAATTCTGCAGTCACTCAAGCTTGAAACCTTGCAGTCACCTTTTACTCTTTTCCTGGTTTCTTTGAGCTAATCAATCACTAAATTCTGCTCGGTCTTCCTTTTCATTTATTCCATGAATTTTTTTTATTCCTCCTTAATGACAGCTGGGTACTGGACAAAAATATAGAAGAATATCCTTCCCTAAACTATTGCAGAGGCCTCCTAACTAGTCTCCCTTTCTCCAGCTTATCCTATCTCTGACTTATCTTGCACACCGCTCTTAGAGCAGTTTTTATAATAGTAACAATTTTGGAGGTGATGTGAGTACTTGTGAGAGCAGCTATCAGTTTTGGAGGCTTTCTATGTGCCAGACACTGTGCTAAGAATGTTATAAATGATATGTCACTCAATTCTCAGAAATTAAAAACAATAATACCTATGAGGAAGGAAGCATATATATATATATATATATATTTTTTTTTTTTTTTTAGAAAAGAAGAAACTGAGGCTTGGAGAGGTTAAGTAACTTGCCCAAGGTCACACAGCCATGGTCACCATGGCTGAACCATGAGTAACACCCTGTTCTCAATCTGACTCCAGAGCCTAAGATCGTAACTCCACAGTGTCCATGACTCTAAAAAAAGCTAATGTCATTCTCCAGTGTAAAATCCTTCAGGGACCTCCAAAACAAATGGAACAAAACCTAAACTCTTCAGCAGGACGCACAAGGCCCTGCTAACTCTTACCCTCGCGTCCCTTCACTCCTGCACACGTGCCCTGTGATGCAGGTCCACCAAGCAACCAGCTGCTCCTGAGGCCCGAGGCCCTCTTTCCTGCTGCACCTTTGCTTGCTCCTCTACTTGCTCCCCCAGTGACTTCCCTGTGATTTTTCCAGGCTGGGTTCAAGAGGCACCTTCACTGCCATAATAGATTACTGGCCCCTACTCTGTGCACCCCCGACACGTGGCACACACTTCTGCTTGGTTGTCTACGGAATTCCACTTGGTTCCCTTACTTGTTTCCTTTCCCCAGGGGAGTAAAATTTCCTTCTCTGAGTCTTCAATGCCTTTACAACGTCCAGTATGTAAGTAGTAAACATTCAAGAAGTATTTGTAGAAGGAAGGAAGGAAGGAAGAACAGGGAAGGAAGGAAGAAAGAAAAGGGAAGGAAGGAAGGAAGGAAGAAAAGGGAAGGAAGGAAGGAAGCAACGAAGGAAGCAACAAAGGAAAAGAAAGAAAGAAGCCACTGGGGTGAGATAAACACTTGTGCAAGTATTCACAATTGAGAGCAAAAGTTGTTAGCGTGAAAAGTGCTGGGAGCACAGAGGAGACAGTGACTATTGCCTCTCAGTCCCCTTCTTTCCTCTCTTGTTGTTTCCTGAAAGTTGGATTCCTTTGCCAGCTTCCTCATCCAGTTTTCCTGCCTACAGCCCCTCTCTCTCCCATCTTTATAAAAGCAAACTGCCACCACATTAATCTTAAATCACTCTCCTGCACAACAACTTTCAACAGATCTTCATTGCCTGGAAGATACGGCTTGGAATTCAAGGCTAAAGAATTTGTACTTCATCCGATCCTTATCAGATGTACTCTTTCAACATCCTTCTTCCATTACTGCCTTACATTATCCTTCCACTAGCCAAATTGGTGTACTGTGTGTGTCTCCCAATATGTCTTGTCCGTCCTCACCTCTGATCCTGTCTCCTTTGCCATTCTTTTGCTTGGGATTCCTTCCCCTCCCAATAGACTCTAGCCTGCATTTCGAGATCTGAATAAAAATCCCACACTTCCTTTAGGCCTTCCTTGTCCATTTCTGCCAAAATAATTTTTCTCTTCCTTGAATTTTTCTAGGTCCTGCAACCTGCACACCCAACACACACACAGCATTAAATGAATTTAACCATGCTCCCGTGTCTGATTTGCTGAATACTGCAACAGAAAACCCCACAGCTATTCATTTTTATAACAGGACAAATTAATGATCTCCAACTCCTGCTAAGCCCTTTGCACTGCTCAACATTCTTTTATGTTCCAGTCTGATCAGCTGCCTTCTCTTTATTTTCTCATAGCACTATTCCAAATCATCCACCATTCTTCTCAAGATCTCTGCGGATACCCTCTTTTTCTGATGATGACCTTGTCATAGAAATTCACAGAAATTCCAAATCTATTTGACATTAACCAATTCGATTTCTGTTTCTTGCATCAAAAAATGTATTTAGGAGTCAGCCTGGTGGCGTAGTGGTTAAGTTCACACACTCTGCTTTGGTGGCCCAGGGTTTACAGGTTCGGATCCTGGGCATCGACCTACACACCGCTCATCTAGCCATGCTGTGGTGGCATCCCACATACAAAACAGAGGAAGATTGGCAGGGATGTTAGCTCAGGGACAATATTCCTCAACCAAAAAGAGGAAGAGTGGCAAAAGATGTTGGCTCAGTGCCGATCATCTTCACACACACACACACAAAAAAAGTATCTATATCTGCAAATCCTTGCACTTTCTTTCCTCCTTGGACAGAAATTTTGACTTGCCTACCCAATGTCCAGTTTCTTTTTCCCTACTAACAGAACCTTAGTTTTATAGAAGAAAACAACTCGAGACTATATTTCTCAGCCCTCCTTAAAGCTAGAAGTAGCCAATAAAAAAATAAGCAGAAGTCACTGGGTGGGGTTTCAGGAAAGTAGCTTAAAGGAGGCAGATTCAGCTGGGAGATCTACTCTTTTTCCCTTCCCTCTTTTCTCTTTTCTCTTACCTGGAACTCACTTGAGATGGCTGGACCTCCATATGGACATCTGGGACCATAAGCTGACCTTAAAAATGTAAAGATCAAAAAGATGAAAAGGAACTTTTGTCCCAGCAGTACCTACCTTCAGACTTGCTTATAATATGGGAGACAAATTATCTTCTGTGTAAAGTATAATTACTTTGACTTTTATTATATGTACCTAAAACTAATCCTAACTGATATGCTTTTAATGACGGGAAAGGTAGATCTCATGCCTGTGTTCTTCATATTATTCCCTGTGGGGTCTGATTCCATTAATCAGCTCTCCTCTTGCCTTTCTTGGTAATGCCTTCCTCAAAGCCTATAGTCAAGCACAAGTCTCTCAAGCATTAAAAAGAAAAGAAGATAAAAAGAAAGAAAGGAAAGAAAAGAAAAGAATAAAAAAGGAGAAAAATGATAAATCCTTTATCCTACTGTAGGTACCACCCTGTCTCTCTCCTTCTTTCTTCAGCCACATGTCTCAAAGAAATAGTGAATGTTTCTTTGTTCCCTTTTTTCTCTTCTGTTTCCACTCATAGACCGAAATCTGGCTTTGATTTGTGTGATCTGCCTCACACCACATCACTGAAGTTGGCCCACCTGATGTCACCAATACCTTGACATTTGCCAAATCAAATCACTCCTTTTCCATCCTCATTCCATTTGACCAT